ACAACCAAAACTTTCCTAAACTGAGCTTGTGTTCTATAGGTTATTTGGCACCAGCCTGGTTCCACTAGATCACAAAAACCTCTAATTGGCATTTACTCCCTTAAGTTGATTTTTCCTCCTAGAGCCAAACAGCACCCCAAAGTGAATGAAATGAATTATGTTATTACCCTAGTAAGCAAAGACACACAGAAGTCATTTGCAGTCTAAACCTTGCAATTGAATAAACACTGGTCAAAAGCATTTTCATCTAACAAAATCTATGCACAATACATGTGTTTGCATCATCACCTATGATTTAAACTCCAATCTCCTGGAGAAGGAGGACCTTGTCCAATTTGCTTTTAAAGGCAAAGAACAACTCTAAGATGCATAAAATATTATATAAATACATTTGATTCAGAATCAACATTACTGGATACCTACAATGTGAACAATAATCATATTTTCCAGTATAAAGATTAGGATACATTGTCTAATGCATAAATAATTTATGTGAAATTCTTAGAAATGAAGAAAAGTGGTATTATTGGAAAGGAGGGGAAATTACATCAAATAAGACTGTCCCAGAAAAACCCCATACACTATTATTATGGTCTGTTCTAGGTATATGCAGCGTGTCAACTCATTTGGGGATTAATTTTTAAAATTGTTTATGTAGAAATTAGATAGGAATAATAAATGGTAGGGGCATAACTCAATAAACATTTATTGAACACTTAACTACAAACCAGTTACTAAGAAGTATATAAAAATAGGCAAATAGACTCTAACTCAAGCAGTTTATAACTGAGCAAGAGGAGACATAACATGATGAAAGGCAAATTATGTTACGTACTATTGGAGTTCTCCCAGTTTGGGCAACTATCTTTCCTGGTAGATAGGGAAGCCAGGCTTGCTTCTATTTTAATGATTCCCCAACATTCAAACCACAGAACAAAGTTCTGAATAAAACAGATACTCAGGTTTATTCAACATTTTTGCAGAGATTCTTTTAGCAGTAGATTCAGAGTACGGCATATAAATCCCATTGCTCTTGAGCCTAAGTCCATAGAACACAATTACATACTACTGTTTAAGCTCATGTGATGGACTACTCAGCTCCTTCTCCTCTGCCCAAGCTGATCAAGGGGTCTCTACATGAAATGATCATCCAAAATGATCACCAATAAAATTCATCCTTTCTTACCATCTGCCTATTATCAATGTCGGAAAGGTCATAAGAATGAGACACGTAGGCAATTGTAGTTTGTGAGGCTGAATACAAACAATCTTAGCTTTGATGAGTTTTGCTGCATCCACATCAGAGCTGAGTGTAAATACGAAGTCTGGCCTTCCTCGTGCTGCAAGGGCCAGAGGAAAAATGTGGGCAAAATGCCTGTGAGTTCAGCAAAGGGAACAATAGAAAGGTTTCATGAAGCAGATGGCCTTTGAAAGGTGTTGAAAAGCTGGTAGGATTTTGCAAGGGGATGTTGGAGGAATGCTTTCTAGGCAGAGAGAGAAAAGCCAATGAAGCAGCAGGAGCAGAAAAATATGACCAGGGAATTGCAGACAAACTAATCTAAATAAAATACAAGCAACAAAAAAGGACAAATAAAACTAGAAATGTTGATCAAGCCCCATTCTTCAGGGCTTCATACTTAATTTTGAGGGCTTTATACCTAATTTGTGTGAATATGCATCTCAGCCCATGAACGTCCATCTGTAAGCAATATAACTTCCTTTATTTCATTTCTATATTGAGCTCTACTTCGCTGGGCTGGCTTGAGATTTGAGTCTCATTTTTTCAGTGTTCCTCCCTTTTTATCACTTGAAATTGAGTTGAGGGTTTGCATCATGTCCGGGCTTTAGGAAGGCACTGGGCCACTGGATCCATGAGTCTTCTGTACAATTTACCACAAAGACATTTTTTCCCAACTTGCTAGGCTCTGAGTTTCTTTCAAAAGGCTGATGATAGCACTGTCCAGTATCACTTATGGTCACCCTGACCACCCCACATCCCCAGCAGTGATGCCGATGAGCCCAGGCTCCCTCTTTCTAGAACCTCACAAATTCCTCTAAGGCTTTTTTCAACTAAAGGTAGCTCTAATTGGAAAATGGAACATGTCCCTTACTACCACCATCACCACTACTACCATCACCAACCATCTCTTCCCTCCAGCACACGTTGGAATTGCTTTTTAGTCTGGGACAATCTTTACTCCTGCAAGTTTTTGACAGAGGAACTTTGTTGACAGCCCAAACTCTCTTTCTCTCTATGCTCTGGGACTAAGGCTTTTGGGAAAAAGTATAGGATGAAAGCCTAGTTATTTCTGTTTTCAGTTCTGCTTCATCTTTGTCCTGAGACAATGAGCAGAAGAGTCATAAACTGGTGGAATGAGGGAGAGGGGGAAATCAAGGAAAATAAAATAATTATTTAATATATAAAAATATTCTTCCACTAAATATATTTGCAGGGGAGGATATGGAACCCTTATAGTTTTGAAGACCATAATAATCATTCTGGAAGCAGAGTACAAGATGGCTTGGCGGAGGTGGAATGTGAAATGGAGAGAAAGTTAATTCTAACAGGCACAGTGAGTCAGGTCAGTGGCAGTGAGAATGGAAAAGAGAAGACAAATACAAGAGATTCCAATGGGACTCAATCTATAAGCTAATGAATGTGAAGAGCAAAGAATATGAAGGTATTAATGGGAGGCTTGGAAAAATAATGATGTGGCATTTCTGAATAAGAAAGATCAAAAAGTGGAAGAGCTTATTTACAGGAGAAAAACAAATAAATTTTATTTTGACCTTACCCATTTTAAAAGATGTCAATATCATCACCTCATCGGATTTCCTGGAAGTGTTTGAAAATTCAGAATCACAGCTCAAGAGAGAAATTACACAAGGTGCCTCAAATCCCTTATGGAACAAAGTCTTATTATGAGTTAACTACTTAATTTAACTCAAGTAAACTATGACAGTCTAGAACTACAGAAGGGCATATATAGTTGTAGGAAAGGATTGTTTATATACAGTGATAGGCAAACCATATAAATTTAGAAGCTGGAAAAAAAAACCAGCAGAATTAAAAGAGCAGAGATTTGAAAGATGAAAAACTTAGGAAAGAGGGATTGGTCATTTGTGTCGAGAGCTTCTGGACCTACAAAGCCCAGAACCAAAGAATAGTAAAAAAATGCAGAAATGTGAAGGTTACCAGACGTTTTCCCAAGGCTGACCAAGACTAACTTAAGCAAGACAACAGGATGTGGAGACTCTGCCAGAAATTTGAGTTTGCAGATATGGTGAGGGGACCCTCTTTCAGAAAATCTGGGGTAAATTGAAAGGGAGAAATGAGGTGGTAAAGCTAAGTCAGAAGGAACGGCACAGCAAGGGTGGTAAAAGACTCCAACTCTTCCTGTACAAATTCTTTAGATCTTGGTTAAATTAGTCCCTACCTTATGTTTTCTGTCTCTTTGGATACTCTGCTAAGTATCTGGAATGCTCTTTCGTCTGTCCTTCCCTCCATAACCTCTCTAAGCATCAATTGTAAATTGGGATCTAATAATACCACCTGAAATGTTATGCAGAAAATAAGTCAGGTTGTGAAAGGACCTTGATTAGTGTCTGACACATAGTAAATATTAATACATATCAGTAGTATTTTACTGAGAGCTGTACTTAACAGGAAAATATAGTCCACTCCAAACTACCATAAGGCAATAGGAAAGTAGTATTAATGTTGTTAATATTGGAGAGGAATGACTGGTGTGAGCATTAAGTTGCTCATGCTCCTGGGGAGAAAAGAATTGCCTTAAAGCAGAGCCTGGCCCTAGGCAGACACGGCGTGTAATGGAGGCAAGGATGAGGCAACTCCAAGGGGTGCTTATGAGGGAGAGGGCAATGGTGCAGGGGTGGTTCCTCTATAACCCCCATCAGCTCCATCAGGCCTCCTCCAATAAGCCTACATTCCATGAAGACTTACTTTCAAAATGGATGCCCTGATCCCCCCTTCCAAAAACTGGAAATACTTAATTTGACCTCCCATCTCCCAAAAAGTTTTGAGAACAATAGGAAGGAATATAGCCGAGGGAGGGAAGGCTCTGGGTGGGAATCAAAGGAACTACTCCTTTTTCTGCCCAGCTGAGAATGGGGGCCATGCAACCCGTTTGGTCCTCAGTCTACTTGCCTATAAAACAAGAGGATTTGACTAGCTCAGGGGTTCTCCACAGGGGCAGCACCGCCTCCTGGGGAATGATTTGTAATGTGTGGGAGAAGTTCTGGTTGTCACAAAGATTGTGCAGTATATGACATTTAGCAGTGTGGACAGGGACACTGGATACCCTGCAATGTGTGGCTCAGTCTGGGACAACCAGGAACTGTCCTGAATCTGCCTGACTTCCTAATGACATCGAGATAGGTAAAAAACCTTATTATAGTTACTTAGCCTGGAACTTAACTCTGTTTAACGTATCAAATGAAGTATGTTTTGCATAGTTTTAATATATACTAGCCCCACTGTTTACATTTCTGTATCTGCCTGTAACCTCTGCACTTGCATTTTTCCTTCTGCCTATACAGAGTGACTCCTGATCTTCTCTTAAATCTAACCTTATTCACTATAAAAAGTACAAGTCTCTGGCTACTTCAATATGTCTTCTGAACCAGAGTATCGTATCTGTAAATTTACATATTAAAATATATGTCCTTTTCATGCTATCTCTCCCTTATATTATAACTGGGGCATTTTTAGTTATATGTGTATATAGATTACTAATCTATGACTCTTAGGGCAGAACAAAGGTGTTTTATAACAAGATATTTGTTATAAAACTATTCTTGGGTATGAAAGTTTGCAAGTCACTAGATTAAATGTTCTGATGTTCCTCCCTCCTCTAAAATTCCACAACTCACCATTCATCCACATTATTCTTCACGGAGGGCAAACTACAGGGGAAAAAGTGGAATATTTGACTTGTTGCAGTACTTTATACTGTACTTAACTTGAGTGTATGCTTGATTGTAGTTTTATGCCATGGTGGTGATACGGGTGTTGACCTGCCCCCACTACCGTGAATAGGCTCCTAATATTCATACATCCTAAGGAAATTATCAACAAATAATGGAAATTGAGTTGAGCCATATTCATCTTTACTACCAATTTCTTGTCACTTACACAAAACAAAACACATACAGGGCATCTCAATCATGTTTTCAACAAAGACAACTCTCCCGTTAACAGCTCTTGAACCTCAGGACCCGCTACTTTGCCTCAGTCACTTCTACATTCTGTCCTTTTTAAGAGTGTCATCTTAATTTGTTTCGCCACCAAAAGAGATAAATGAAACTGTTTTTCAAGAAAAACAGAAACTGTTGACAGAGTTGAAACGGCATGTCCAATAAAGACAGCTGGCAGACAAGTGGTGTTTGGCTGCTCTCTATGCTTCCCGAAGAAAACAACCGCCGTTGGGAGTTACATGCAGTTCTGCAGGGCTTGAACAATCTGAGTCATTTATTTTTGTTTCACCTCTGAAAAATAAAGCCATGGCAAAAAGAACAGAAGTAATGCATATTTTAAAGATTAAATATTTCACTACCTCCCCTTTTATTTTGCAAAATGCAAACCTCTTTATTTTTCTATAACCAGATTACACTTCTATTTTTGCCCTCCTCCACTTCCAACTGATGGCCTGATACCTAATTGACTCAATTCCAAATGAAGTCTGTCAAATTCAGTGATCTCTTAACTATTTTGGGTTTAAAACTTAGTATCTCTCTGGATTGTCTCCTCCACCCCCGACCCCCCCTTATCTTGCAGGGTAGCAGCAGTAGGGAGGTGGCTATCCACTCCTCTGTCTTAGTCTGCTCTATGCCACTGTGCTGGAGCCATGGGTACCTCCTACTGTTGGTGTCTGCTGGGAAGCCACTTCTCCTATCAGAACTTCAATGTGCACACTGCTATTGGAGATGCATCGCCCACCCATGACCCCAGTCACTTCTGGCTCCTTCCTACTCTCAGTGTCTCATTCAAACCAAGGAAAACATCTGTTTCCCACATCCCACCGAAGTCAGAGAAAACTCTCATGTGGGTACAGCCAGACCCATCTGCCCACAGTGCTGCCGGCAGCCATTTCTGTTCTGATGAGTTGTGGTGACTCAAGGATGTTTCTATGAGAACAGTCATTTCCCACAGCAAAAATGAACCCCGAGGGTGAAGTTCTTCTCCTTCACTCTTGGATCTCCACTTTTAAAGGAGAGTAGTGTTCCTTCATTTCTGGCCCCTGCACAGGACTGGGCAATAAGAATGAAAGCTGAGCCCCACAGCTGTCCACGTCAGGGTCCAGCTCTGTTGCTTGATCTGTCTCCTTTATCCTCCCTTCCCCTCCAAACCCAGGGGCACCTATCTATTTTTGATTGACAAATAAGGAAAAAGGAATCTCATATTCCTTATCTTTCTCAGATGTTTCCTGTCATATAAGTAATCTAAGGCTTTGAGGAATTTTGATGTCTTTCTTTTATTTATGGATAGTAATCTCTTTCACAGATTGGTAATGGAACCTTAGATGATTTTTGTTCTGTGAGATCTAAATAGTAATCCTATTCCTATGAATCTGGCTTAGGAAAATAATCGTAAAACTGAAAAAGATTTTACACAAAAAGACAAAATACAGTGTCATTTACAGTAGTAGCCCAAAATGAAAACATTCTATGTCCAAAAACATGGAAGTAGGAAATTACAGTAGTTTTCTGTCATGCAATAATATATGTAACCATTAGAAATTGCCCTAAATAAGGCAATTAGTAACACAGAAAAATACTTGTTACAGAAAGTTAAATTAAAAGGTAAGTGTAAAATACATACCATATTTCAAAGATTTGTTGTAAGAAAAGATTGATACTGATAATTTTTGTATTGATTACATATTGGAATTATAATATTCTGGGTACCTTGAGTTAAAATGTATTTTTAAAATTAATTTTACCTGTTTCTTTTAACTTTCTTAATGTGCTTACTACAATATTTAAAATTGCATACATGGCTCAAATTATTATATACATAGGCCAGCACTGTCCTAGAGACAGACACAAACAGAAAAGTCAATGAAAGTCACTGCATTCCAACAATACACACTTTGGCTCATAAGGTGAACCACCCTCAACACAAAGATGTTTTCAACAGTTACTTCTGTCTCTTTTAAAGCTGCTCTCTTCTCTAATGACTTTTTTCTGTTCTTCTAAGCACACAGTGACGGCTTCTGAGAAATGTGAACCTCTCTTGACCTCATTCCTTTTCCTTAAGCATTTGATGACATGTTGTGTCTCCCCTGAAGAGGAAGCCCCATTCCCATTTTCTACGAGTCTGGCAGCAGCTATCAAGGGGTTAGCTGCACCTGAACAACAGCAGGCACCTTGAATCCAGGTGAGTGGGCAGAACAATAGAAAAAAAAATTTAATGTTAATATTAAATTTGCATGGTCTCTGCCTAAAACCAGTACATGATTCTAAAGCCTGTTACCTGATTCACTGTGTACTAGTCCATGTGACATTTCGTTCAGAGGACACTCTATAAACAAAATATCTTTTAGAAGACAGACTTAAAAATCTCTTTTAGAAGACAGCTCTGTCCCTCCACCTGAGGTGAGGTCATTGCAGGAGGCTCAGAGCTTTATAACTTCAAAAGGCTCCTGCTGGGAGAGAAGGGCTCCAAGGACATTGCTGGGAGCAGAGGCACCCCCTGACCCAGCGACTCAGGCCAAGTGAACACACAAATGGTAAAGACACTGAATTATATAACCAGTGCTGTTTAGCTGGAGCTCTCAGGAACTGATTTGTTGTTTTTCTGCAAGTCAGTAAAACACTGAAAATAACCTTCTGTGAGCTTGACAGACCAAAGATACCCTGATGAAGGCACATCAGTCCTACTGTCACCTACCAACAAGCAGGCACTTTCGCTGTGCTCCTTTATTAAGGAGTGCACATTTCTGCATTTCATCTCTTCTAAAGATTGCTATTATTCATCAAAACATGATCTACAGATTACTTTGGTTTATTTCTGGAAACCATGAGCTCATTTAATTTACAATGAAGGAAGAGTTATAACTGTGTGATGGGAACAGCATTAAATTTCTCAAAACTCTGCCTTTGCTAAACGACAGTCTCGCCACATTCATTTCCCCTCCAGGTCTCTCTAGAGCTGTGGCTCTGATCACATTGGCAAAGCATTTACCTGCTCTCCAAATTTGCCTGCAGGTCTCAAGACCTCAATTTTTCAGGAGCTCTGCTGAACTTGACCCACATTGCAATTGACAGGTTAGCCACCTATTATTTTTTGTTGTACCTTGCCCAGGTTTGCACTTTTGCTCCCCATCACAGCAATAAAGGCACCCTGTTCTCTATCCTAATGCCTCTTCTACCTTTCACACATTTTCCAGTGATGCTCACATCTTGGTCAATTGCTTTTCTGCTCTCGCCTCATCTGAATCAGACTTATGCACTGAAGATCATAGGAGTTTTCAGGCAAAAAAAGGTCATCTGTTTCCTCAACAGGAAAGTGATATAAAGAGAAAGATCTGCAGATAGTTAAAGGTCCTACCCTTCAATGCTGGTATAAACGGAAATGACATTTCATTGCACCAGCCCACAGCTCAGGAAATTCTACTACTTTCTACTGAAAAGAGGATTAAAGAAGCAGGAGGATCAAACAAATCTGCACACTCCCTGGCTAACAGACAGTTTCCCCCAGGGTGACCTTCTGACAGCTGAGACTGCAGGCTTCCTGTGTAATCAAGCGTTTCCTCTCCAGCTATGAAAGTCTGCTCATGCCTTGCATTGCCATTATGGCAGCCCATTGTTCTTGGAGAGTCCAGAGCAAAAAATACCTCTTGCTCAGGGATTTCCTCCATTTGAAACTCTCAGCATAGATCCTGGAAACTAAGGTGACTCTCCAAGAAGACTGTTTTATTCTTTAAATTTAGAGGAAACATCATTCAGACCTTTTGACTGTACAAAGCAGCTGGTTCCTCTGTCTAACCTCCACCACTGCCCACACCTCCCAGCCTTGTATCTAGGTAGCCCTGCGTTCCTAGTGTTCCTGATACTCCACATCATGAATCTGTTTTTTAGGCTTAAAGGGAAGGCTCTGTCTGCCTTCTAATTTCTCCTATCAAAATTTCTTCTTCAGTTGCAACTCCCATGAGGATTCATTTTCATCTCTTATTACTTCCATTCTGCCTTCTCCCCGGGCACAGGGGTTTTCCTTGACACGTTAGTTTGTCTGTCTTAAGCATTTAATGGCTGTCTCGCTTCTGCCCTCCACATTCAGACCTTGTGCATTCTTGTCTAGTCAGTAAGTACATACAAAAAGTCACTCAAGAGTATTTTCAGAGAAAGAAATAGAAAAGCATACATATGAATTATTAAGACAACTAACAAAATTGGCCTATAGACTAAACTGAATTTTAGATAAACAAAATAGTACACCAATGTTAAACCCTTAGAATTTGATAACTTTCATGGGTAACTTAAAAGAATATCTTTGTCTCAGGCGAAAGGAAACAAATGTGGCAAAAGCTAAAAACTAGTAAATCCTGATAAAGGGAATACAAGAGTTCTGTTTTAATCTTGCAACTTTTAAAGTTTAAACTTTAAAGTGAATTTAAAGTTATTTAGAGATAAAATTTTTCCATTTAACTCCCCAGCTGATTCTGATACAGCATATCCATGACAGTCATTTGAAGACCACTGAAGAAACAATGTGAATGTCACTTTAAGAAAGCTAAAGGCACGAGCTCTCATTACCTGTCCTGTTATTTTCATAATAGCCCTTGAATGAATAATCAATGTATTATTTGGAATTATCATCCAAGTAAGCAACCAGGTGGAAATGTTCATAGGTATTAAATTAAGAGAGGAAATTGGCATGCTTTTATACTTAAGCTTCTATATAAACTTTTCATGCAATTACTTGTCTCAACACTTTCAGATTTTTCTAAGATAATTGCATGTGCAATAATGATCTGCCTCTATGCTTACTCATTGTGATCATAACATTAATGGTTATAAAAAAGAAAGCTCAATTTTCTATAGGTACTCAGATCTTTTTGCTTTCTTATTTCCTGCTCACTAATGATAGGACATTAAAAACAAAAGATATTTAGAGAATATGCCATAATAAGATTCCTATTTTAATAACTATATTTTTTAGTACTTGCTATGTGCCAGAAACTTTATCAAGTGCTTTCATAATATATCTGGAAAGGACAGGCTATTCTGCTGTAACTAACACCGTCAAAGATCATAGTGGCTTACAGCAATAAAGGTTTATGACTTTCTCACACTATAGGTACATTGCAGATCAGCAAAAGGATTCTGTTTGTGGTTATTCAGGAAGCAAATTAACAAAGCAGCCACCGTCTTGAACATTTGATCACCAGGCTAGAGGAAAAGGTCTCCAGAGGGTCATGTACCAGCCCCAAAATGATACCCATAGCATCTATTCACAATTCATTGGCCAGAATAAATCGTATGGC